GCCCTACGTTGTGCAGTATCGAGCGCGGGGAGATGGTGCTTGAGCCAGGGTTGCCAAGCTTGAATAGCGTAATCCGCGTGCGGCCTCACGTACACACTAAGCATTTTTGGAAAGACTGAAGGGTCAAACTTCCCGAAAGCTCTGCGAAGAAGGCCGAGGTACTGGTTTGCTTTCTTAGCTGCCTTTTCAGTCTGCCTCAAACAACCGAGGTCACCTTGGACTATCAATCCGAGATCGCACTCGTGAGAAACCCGCTGTAGAATTTGTAGTCCTAGGCGGTACTTGTGCCGTATGCTGAGAACTTTGCACTTGGTGACGTTGAAATGCAGCATGTTCTCGATGTGGCTTGGAAACTCGAACGACTCAAAATACTTACATGCTGCCAGTGAGTTCGAATGCAGTGAAGTGGTCGTTCAGTTGCACTCCCGATGTAGTGGCTGTGTGTCTAACTGTGAAGATGAATTGAGGCCACCAAGTGGAAAAAATAACTGCTCTCGCTTTTTGTGCAACTGTAAAAATCAATGGTTGCCGGGAATTCAACGTTTCTTTCTTTGTGATACATAAAGTTTACCGTGAAAGCCTTCCCGTTATTTAGTCAGTTTTTGCGGCAAAGATAAGGTACGCAACGCCACGTTGACTGGATTTTATTTTCTACAATATGGCGACATCAAATGAACCAAGTGAACGACAAAGTTGGACTTGGCACACACTGATTGGACATAAGTTGCGATATGTCAACCTTTAGATTGTTCTCATCAGTAACAAACACAATACAAGCGGGATTCATGGTTGGCGGCATCCGGTTTCGGATTTGCCTGTCACTGTGGCCATTCACAGAACGCCCGCGCCCACAGAGGGACCATGGATGGCTTGCGCTGCACCACCCACAGCTCCATCCACACACCACGTATCCAGTGTAAACCCGAAGGAATAAGACCGGGAGGCATGCGGATGGGAGCCACGTTTCATCAACGGAGCCGGCCCACACTCCTTCACAGGCAAACACAAGCACGCTGTATTTGGAGAATCAAGTGCACACAAGTCGGTGGCTGGACCGTAGTCCGCTCCACACTGAGTGCACGGAACCACACTTCGAGCTTAGCACGACCACAAGGACCGTGCACCCCGTCCCCTCCAGCAACGACCAACTGTCTCCTGGACCACATGGACGAGGTAGTGGGTACTAGACAGGTAGGCACCTTGTCAACATGCACATCATGAGCAGCCACACCTGGGATGTGAAACAACAGCCAATCATTCGAAATGCCGATATCGAATAAAGTAAACGCATATGACGACATAAGTACTCGTAAAATGAGCATATGGAAGAAATTGGTTAAAGGTGAATACGCGATAAGTACAAAATGTCCGAAAGTTATTTAAAAAATACCACGCGATAAAATTACGCAAGTTTACCACAATTTGCATGAGCGACGTGTGCAAGTTGGGAGAAGATTATCAAGTACACAGAACAAACCAAATAAAGTGGAATGAATTTTATCCACATGAAAAAGACCTAGTTTAAGTGTAAGTTGGTTTAGCCCAACTGCAGTGAAGCATCATGAATGCAACATCAGCCTCAGGATGGGGCACCAAGCGGGATTCATACACAGTTACATACAGGGGGAAAATTTGGCACACCAATCAAAATGTCAATGTCAAGACCACGGTAACCTAATTGATTGTCTCAATAGTTTCTGTGCACACAACACAGGTTGATAAGCCCTAATTAGCAAAGCCTCACTAATTGCCAAAATTATCGGATTGTTGTTGCGTAATAACAACTTGAACGCAGTCTCCGGGTTCACCTGATGTCGAGTTGCCAAGAGATGCTTGGTGATAGATGATGCTGGACTCCAGTTCATCCTCGGATCCACTCCGTTTTGTTGCCTCATCAGTTGCTCCAACCACCGGGGCACATGTTCAGTTGCCCTCTGAGCTAACTGACGGTCAGTCCTGCCTATGTAAATCTCACCGCAATCGCACGTGGACTGGTAAACGACGTGAGAGGCCGAACTGACTGATGAGTTGCTCTAACGGTCATGAAGAACAAGGCCTCCCAAGGAGAAAATACCGGTGTTAACAGCAGAGCAAAAGAATGTTTATTTGTCTTTGCCGTTCGAAGGAGACTATGTATCAAAGGATATCGGACATAAACTCCGATCCGCCCTTACGCGCACCTACGCGACCGCCCAGTTAGACTTATACATACAACGCGAAGCTTCGTGTTTTATGACCGTCAGAGCAACTAATCAGTCAGTTCGGCCCCTCACGTCGCTTACGAGTTCACCTGCGGTTGCGGTGAGATTTACATAGGCAGGACTGACCGTCAGTTAGCTCAGAGGGTAACTGAACATGTGCCCCGGTGGTTGGAGCAACTGATGATGCAACAAAACGGAGTGGATCCGAGGATGAACCGGAGCCCAGCATCATCTATCACCAAGCATCTCTTGGCAACTCGACATCAGGTGAACCCGGAGACTGCGTTCAAGGTGTTATTACGCAACAACAATCCGATAATTTTTGCAATTAGTGAGGCTTTGCTATTTAGAGCTTATCAGTCTGTGTTGTGTGCACAGAAACTATTGAGACAATCAATTAAGTTACCGTGGTCTTGATTTTGACATTTTGATTGATGTGCCAATTTTCCCCCTGTATATATCTGCCCATGAATCCGGCTTGTATTGTGTTTACGACTGGTGAAAACAATCGAAATGTTGACATATCGTAACTTATGTCTTCTCACTGCTCTGACAAAATGGCTGAAGGGGACCCACTGTTTTATTTACTGTTTGGTAGTCTCAATGACATGCCAACAACATTAGGTACCTGCTCCACTTGTTGAAACTGATTCTCCAATAAACCGCTACAGTTGATTTTGCACGACTAACACGCAGGGCATACTGGACAAACGTTCACTTACATAATTTGCGACTTGTTTGCGGAAATGCCACCCAACATCAAAGGTTGCGTCCTTGAGCTTAGAATGGTACGAGATTGAAGCACTCCTTCCCTAACCCATATACAGTTGGCTGGGGAAGCGTGAAATATATGTTGTGTTGCGACCGCACTGTATTTTGGTTAGTAGAAAGGAAGCGCATTTTGTCGTGTGGCAGAAGTCCTGCCGCATGTAGCTACATCGTAAGGTACCGCGTCATTACGGAGTTGAAAGTCAATAGTAACTGAGGCATGCTTAAGTAAGACATTGGTGAACAAATACTGGAACGCCACCAATTCGGGTACAAACGGAATCACCTAACTATTAACTGCATCCCAACTCGAAGCTTAGCAGGTCTGAAAGACCCAGCTTTAAAGATACTCTTTGAAGACCCATCCGAGACACCGGACCTATAAGACGTTCCGATAATTCTTGGTCTGCGACAAGCCCATCAGCCGAGAGAAATTTATTATTATTATTTTTGAGCTAGTCACAAGCGAGAACTATCGTCCGTAAGGTCGTAAATGATAGCACATATCATCGAAACCTACCATCGGTAGCTGAATGAAGTAGGGACGGACAAAACCCTGCGTAACATAGCAACCTCACTCTATCGTGATACCACCGTCAGTTCCTGAAACTCGAGGTAACCTTATTTGTTTCCATTTGCCCCATAGGCTATTCAATTTCAAATGTGCCTCCACCCGTCTTGGTGTTCTGCACCAGCCTTCCGAATTGCTGTACCTTTTGCTGGTTCGTTGCTGCTTTGACTGATCAATGATCGTCATCACTAATTCCAGTGGGCTGAACGTGTGCTAACCGTTGGCCGATCACTTCAGGCTCTCATATATTGTCTCCGGCGCGGGAGACATTCAATGTACCTAGGACACCGGTAAAGCGACATCGATACGGAATTTGAGTCCGGATGAGATGACATTCAGCAGTTGCCTTGATAAGCACGGCGTATCCGTTGGTTATGGGCGAGATAAACCTGAAAAGTATAGCCTCTGTCCCTATGTCTTTCCTGTATGTGGGCAAGCTTGCGGTGCAGATCGATTACATGGAACTGTAGCCAAAAGACTGATGACTCGTTCCATCTCTTCAGTACTCGTTATACAAGGTACATTCCCACCGATCTATGGGGTTCTCAGTAGTTTCAATTCAGTTGTCGATTGTGACTAACGACACGCTCTACAATCGGTTAGCTCTTTCTGGGACAATTCAGATGCAGATATCTCGTTTGTCGCGAATCACCCTCCGAAAATCAAAAACACTAGTGACACCAGACATGGAGATGGACATCGCGCGACGAAAATGGGATAAATATCCCCGTGATGGAGTTGACCGGGGTATACCTTGATTTAGGGTTGTACGATACAATTTAAAAACATACTGATTGGGCAGAACTCAAGAATAAGTTACCAGTCACTGCTCTTCATATCAATGATTGATCCCAGCAATATTGTGCACAGCTTCAAGTCATCAGAGATGAGATATAAGCGATCCCTTGGGTGCTCTTCAGAAGCATATCTAGCTCAGCAAATTTATACATATCCAAGAGGGTGATACGAGAAATAAGTTTTTAGTTGAGTGACCACGACAGAAATAGATAGTGATCATTTATTTATTTGTATTACCCGTTACACTTATTTCTACAAATAGAACACCGGATGTGGTTCGTCCCAATAACCGACTTTGTTCAACATAGCGATTACTGTTAAATAAAAAATTATTTGTGACCGCAACAATGAAAGGATTATCATAGATTTTCAACTCTATATCCGGGGATCAGTCATGTATGCATCATACGCCCCTTGCGATTGCTTGAAAGCTCATTGTCAAACTGTACAACATGTGCTTAACACCGACGAAGCCGAAAGAGACTGGGGCTTCGAGAAGCCACGCGTCGAGCTTAGGCCTAGCACCGTGCTTGTATTGTTCGAAAACTTATACAGAGAGTAAAAATCCGAGAAACGCAAATATAAACTGCATAACTGTTTGTTACTTAAAATGCTCAATAGTCCAACTATCACGAGTTCTTGCTTCTCGCCTTCTCCTGCAGGCTGTGATTACGTCGTGCATTCGTCGAGCCAAATTTTGTCCCACAAGCGAAAACACGATCGACGGTTCTCCCAATTGGTCACATTTTCGCAGGACACCAACTGTTCTGATTTCGTCAGGCGGAGTACAGGCTCCACATGCTCTGCGTTTTCACGGAGTGACGGACATGCAAGAAACAGAGACGCACCAGATGACTGTCTATCCCAATCGGCTGAGGTACCTCTGGATCTGGATTTGAAGCGCTCAGACTCAGTAATCACTAACGAACCCCAACATTCAGGAGACAGAATATCTCCTACTGGAACCTACTCATTGGCAGAAAAGCCGGCATTCTGTGAACCGAAGGCAAACTCCGTTGGAAACGATTTGTTCTACGAATTATCTCGTCTCACTACCCGTTGCATTCAACGTCGGAAGCGATCACCTAACACGGTGGACGTCTTACCACATGTCACTGCGATCCCGAACAGTAGCATCAGTTTGGAGTTCCTGTTTCCTAATGATGAACTATCGAACACACCCGACGATGTCACCCACGTGACAAAGGTATTCGAGCTCGTTCGTCATTATTTCAGACAGTATCCTTCCACGGCTGAATGTGAACACCAAAGTTGCCAAACAGCAGACGAGTTATCAGACGCCCATTGGCATTGCTATTGGCCGGGTTGTTCCGTCGGGCCCTACTGTAGACAAACGGGCTCGAATTACTGCTCCCAATGGATCATACACATCTGGCAAGCAGCACTCCTTCGATGTGGGCTCATTCGTTGTGATCGCGTGGATTTTGGTTGTGAGTTAGCCGCCGGTCTCCATTTGCACTGTTACTTTTGGCCCGCATGTGATTTTACTGCGGCACACACAGAAACGCAGTTCATTTCTATATATGCCCACATAATACAACATGATGCACGCTTGTCGAGTCGCAATGCCGAAGGTCTCGGGACCGACACAGGCCATCCAGATGAACTGATGGAGGACTCGGGGGTTGACACACTGGACCAGACTCCAAGACGAAGGGGTCGTCCACCAAAACGTACTAAATGCATTCGTGTGCCCCGGTTGAACGTGCCAGATGAGTTGTGCGCGGATGATGCGAGAGTCGAGGAACTCAGGCGCGACATGTTCATTCAGCAGGCGGTGGATGTGGTGGGCCGTGATCGAGTCGGTATTGTGTGTGGAGTGAAGCATTTTCCCGCTGGGATAGCTTGTCCGGATGACCTGTGTGAATACTCTTGTCGCGGGTCGGAACATTATCATTGCATTCGTCCACGGTGTTTCATGTCCACGGACAATTTGGATTTGATGAATGTACATCGTCGCGAGTTCCACAACCATATTATAATCGCACATGGATTCGAACATTTCGACCGAAGCGTGGACTGTCGACGTCCAACGTGTCATAGCAAGAAAATGACACAACATTACCACTGTACTTATCCGAACTGTGACTATGCGTTTATCCGTCCAACGACGATGACACAACATGCGCGCAAGCATGAAGAGCTGGCTCGTACTCGACACCATCCGGGAGCGTTGAAGAAGGTTAAGTGGATGCTTGACCGCCATCATCGTCGTCCTCCTCTTCCTGCTCCATCTTCTCATTATCGGACAGAACCGGACAGTCGTGTGGAATTCGAGGAACCAAGGCTGCCGTGCTTGCCACTGGGTATGTCACCAATGGCGGTGGCCCATCTACCCGCCCTCTTCCCTGGGTCAGGTGACGCAACCGCTTATAGGCAACAAGTGTCCGAAGTAACAGCACCGAAAATGCCATCAGAAGACCGACTGCCAGGATTCCTTCCTGTTTGGGCAGCGGCCATGGCAGCTGCGACAGCAGTAGCCAAATCCGCTACTAGTGACTCGACAATGCTGCATCCATCGATGTCGCTGTCATTTCATGAGGCCACCAGATTTGGCATTCCCGAGTCTAGTCGGATAGGTCTAGACTGCCTTACCAAAGATGTGGAAGAGACTTCAGTGGGTGTGTGACGACGGTCCATCGGAGAGACAATAGAGACAATCTTATGCAAATTGTGAGTCACCAGCGATATTCAAACGTGATTTTAAGGCAATATTTGTTTGGCTGTCACAGTCAAGCACTGATGTGTTGTTTGCATCTAGACCGTTAAAAATCTTAATTACTACCCTTACCTCACAGCTGAAGCACATGAATCGTTTTAGTCCTGACGCTGTTCATACTCTCGAGCACTGACAGATCAACCAGTCTTTACTGAGTGACTGCATTAACTATACGCGTAACCAGGAATCTTTTGCTTATTTCCACCTCAGTCGGTAAGTAACGTACATGAAGGTCCAACTGTTTCCTAAGGATTTATCCCTATACATCCAGTGTGACACATGCATTTCTCTATCTTCCATAAGACGGGCGCATTCGCCTTGGAAGGGCCAAATAAAAACGTCTGCTTTTAAGTACATTTGACATAGTTGCATGGTGACCTTGTTGACCCCATCAGTTCTAATGGATCGAGCGGGTGATTTGAAGGTCCATAATGGTTACGCACTATGTTATTCCATGTAACCCGGCTGTTTTATGACCGACCTATCGCCATCTTAATTGTGGGTGGCACTACACTTCGCTAGGAGCACAGTTCATCTGAGGGGGTGGGGGTGAACAGCTGTTGCTTTTGCTGTTTGTAGTTGGTAACACGCTGAAGATTTCGCTTCCATAGGGTTTGGCTATGAATCTGGAACTGGTCAGCGCATCCAAATACGGGATGAAGGAATTGTCCCGCTTGGTTAAATTTTCTCCTTTTCGGAGCAAATGCAACAGGGTAATCATCATTGATAACCAAGCAATATCAAATCAAATGTCAACCGTTACTTGCGTGTACTCCGGGTATAGGTAGGCACGTGGCCTAGCGCTGAAAAACGGGGTTTTGGGTTAAGTATTAGGCAATGCTTACCTTCAACACTGTACTCTACTACGAGATCTGCGTTTGGTCACATAGATAGCCGAAGGGAGATTTCAGTTCGAGAATTAGACAACTAAACACGGAGTTCCGAGTGTAACTGTTAGGCACACATTTCGTTGGTTTAGCTTACTGTTCCCGTTTTGTGAATACACCGTGGCATAAATCGGTCGTTAAGTGCTCTGTTAGCAACAGACAACTTTTAACATTTATTTGGTTTTGAAACGGTCACATCAGTTGAAATAAACAAGGTTCACTTCAAAACAACTCGCGGTCCGTTTTGTGCTCTCAATTCGCACTTAAGCACATGGAAAAAGTTGCTTGATTAGGCTCCGTGTAACTAGTATCTATTTAAGACTGGAATGTTTAGTGTGCCCCGTAAATATGGTGACTGATCTCTGAAGCTGTGTGTAGTATAGTTGCCTACGTAAGGCTCACTGTAAGGATTCACGCTTGGCGTTTCCAGTTTTCCTCAATCTACTTCCTGCGATATCACCCGATCCTTATTTTTTTCCTAGACGCGGAACTTTTGCGAATTTGGGGGCTAACGATGCAAACTCCGCTCCTTGACTACATGAACCGCCACTAGTGATTGTCTACCTCGGACTCAACTCCACCTCAGCTAAACGAGTGTTGAGCCTCCTTCAGATACCGGTTCTCTGTTTTCCAAACGCAACCCAAGTGTGCCTAACACATGCAAGCTGATGGGCCAACCCATATTTTGTTTTCTTTCTCCATCCTACTGCTGTCCTTCGTACTGAGAACTTATCCGAACGGATGCTTTGGAACGATTCCCAACTGTACATGCCCAAATTCAACCAGGAGAGGGACACGCACATTTTGCCAAGCCCTCCGTGCATCCATCCACATCTGCTCAACCTCCACTTTTTTCGCAACGTCCAAGCCTTTCCCATTTGCTCATTTTCGCTACGCCTCTGTCTTATATTTTTCTAATTAACTAATTAGGGATTTTCTTTTGTGAACTGTACAAAATGCAAACATTTCCTGAATTCGGGCATGTATTTTTGAAGAATTCAGTTAGCGAAACAGGTGTGTTGAGCAGTTGAAAAAGGCTCAGTGCATTAAGAAGGGCGTGTAACAAGTCAGCACATAGGTGTCGATACACGGCTGTAATTCAGTGTTCAATTGAAGCAGAAACCACGTTTCTTGAGTTTGACTAACTTGAAACTTAGCATCAACCTGTATCACATACTGCGGCCAACAAACTGATGGACAGATGAACAGTGCTCAGAGGTTTTCCAAACCCTGACTAAACACAGTGAAGCACTGCCTACCAACTTAGGCCTCTGCCTTACTTTAATGAATGAAGCGATTGCTGCTGAAGTTAGCAAAAGCGAAGGACTGAATTCAAGCATTTGCATTCATTAGTGTAAACTCTCTGTCCAACCGCTGCAATGTTCCCCTTTGCAGATTCACTACTCCCAATAATGGCCTTATTCTGATTCAGTTCCGTAATAATTTCATTCTTGCAATGAGCTTGCACCCTGGACAGTGTTTCACAGATCTGATATCGCTACTAGTCCATGCACACAACTGGGATGTAATGCCTAAGAAACAATCTTCGAACAGACTTCAATACATATCGACTACTTCCGTTCGCCTAGGTGTTGTCAAACAGAGTTGTTGTGGCTTAGTCATGTAAAGTGAAAAGTTTCCTTTGTTTAGTCCTCACAAACGTCACCTAACTTCACGATGATTTTGCTCATGGTCGGCCTGTTGACGAGTGGTCTGCACGCTTGACTTGCAAGGTCACCGGTTCGAATCCGCGTACGGGCGGGTGTCCTCGCGGTATACTCAGCCCACGCGCGACTGGTGGTCACGCGGCACCGAGGCGTCGTTACGGCGTACAGCTGACACATTATTATTTCATTATTGCTCATGGTTCGAGTCTTCATCTCAGCTGTACGACGGCGTCTCAGGTAAATGGTACTTGTCACGCCCGACTGCATTGTTAACTGGTACGCGATCGGTTAGTCGGTTAAACAAATCAACGCAAACAAGTTATTGCGTTCACCTCTAGAGCCTCTTACCAGTGAGCATATGCTCATACACAACGCGGACTCGGTAGCCGAATGGCCGGCTACGGTCCGATTATGGGGGGTTAGGTTCTGTCCATCGAATTGTGGTGTTTAGCGAGTATCCTGTAGCAGGAGCCTAGAGAGCGATTCGAAAAGGCAGATCGGGTTGCAGAGAAACTTTTATTGGTACAGTAAAAGATTCTCTGTTACCTAGCTATAAAAAAGCGACACCGTTGGCGCTCTAGCTAGGGGAAAGGAGGATGCACAGCACACAGGGCAGTCGTGAGTTGCAACCGAAACGAGCGCCAAGCAAAAATGGCGATGAGCAAGTCAAGCATTCGAACTCAGCAATCAGTTCAACAAACCACACCGGTCGCCTAGGTGTACAATGAAATAAGTTTAGTTAGAATTTTACACAGGCAAACCGAGGAATCTCAGACTGCTACATAGCCCTCCCCCAGAAGGGACTGTGCAAACAGTCTTGCGATCTACGTGAGGACTGTCCGTCGCGGGCCAGCCTTCTGCGAGACCAGGTTGTGAAACCTGATGCAGCTGCAGGGGCATAACCATGCAATAGGACCCTAGCGGGATCCCACCCGTGTCCTCCCTGCGGTGTCGAAACGGTAAAAATGTGTAAGGGGACAGTTTGTAAAGTTCACGTAAGTGGCTGAGCAGGAAGTTCGTTCCACTTCCAGTTGACGTGCGGGGATCCAGTGAAAAGTGAGACCGAGGTGCAACCAACCGACGGTGTATATGGAAAGTAAAATGAAAAAAAACAGCGTAAATGCATAGCAATACCCAAAAGAGTGCAAAGAGAAAAAACGTACAAAGCTGTTTTTGGGTTTCAAAAGGCTTTGCTCTTTTTTGGTAGTTTCAAAATGTTTGGTTTTTTGTGTGGATTTTAGAGAACGTTTGGTAAGAGGAGAAAAGCATGCAAGGAGTGGTTTACAGGAAGTAGCAAACGCCGACGAAATCCGAAAAGCGTACTGGGTTTCATTTACCTACCACTTCGATTGATAATGGGTCGTGAAAGGGGTGACGTCGGTTGAGGTTGTCGGTTCCGCTGGAGAGGAGTGACTAGTCTGGGGTTGCGGCGCTGGCTGTGATGGTGCTTGTTGCACCGAAGAGTCAGATTTGTCGAGAAATGCTGGTTTGAGTCGATCGACGTTGACCGTCTCAGTCTTAGCATTGTAGTCAATGGTAAACGTCTTGTCGCTGATCTAATGAATGCGTGAAAGCGCATCCGCGACGGGATTGAGAGCACGTGAGACATGTCGTACGTCTGTCGTAAACTGAGAAACGTAGTCTAGGTGTCTAGTTTCCCGCGGAGATTACGTGTCTATTGCGCCAATGATTGCGTAGATCAATGGCTTGTGGTCAGTGAAGACTGTAAAATGTCGACCTTCGAGATAGTGACGGAAATGTCCGATACCTAGGTAGATAGCTAATAGTTCCCTACCGAAGATGCTGTAACGCGATTCGGCACGTAAACGTTTCGATAAAAAACCTAGAGGTATCCATCGATGATCGATGAGTTGTTGAAGAACTGCACCGACGGCAGTGCCGGATGCGTCAGTTATCAGGGAGAGTGGTGCAGATGTATCTGGGTGGGCCAGAAGCGCTATGTTGGAGATAGCGTCTTTCAGCTTCTCAAAAGACAGTCTAGCGTCGTCTGGAAAATGAAAAGACCGTTGGTTACCGCGAAGCAAGTCAGTCATTGGTTGAACAATGCTCGCGCAGTTAGGAATAAAGCGTCTATAATAGTTGACCAGGCCAAGGAATCGGCGTAACTGTTCGAAGGAACTAGGAGTAGGATAACCTTTCAGTGCCTGGATTTTGTCTGGCAGAGCTTCAATACCAGAGGCGGATATTCGGTGACCAAGAAAGTCGATGGAGCTTTGGCCAAGCTTGCATTTATCAGGATTGACGGTAACCTCATGTTGCGTCAAGCGTTGGAAGAGAGCGTCGTGATGAAGATGTTCATCTTCAGAAGAGCTGGCGATGAACACGTCGTCTAAGTAAGGAGAAACACCCTCGAGTCCTCGCGTTACCTCATGAATGAAACGCTGAAAAGTTTGAGCAGCGTTGCTGAGGCCAAAAGGCATTCTGAGGTACTCGAATGGGCCGAATAGCGTGATGACTGCTGTTTTAGCAATGTCGCCTGGCGCCACAGGTATCTGATGGTAGGCGCGAACTAGGTCGATTTTGCTAAAGATAGACTTACCAGCTAGAGCTGTTAAGTCGTGCATGTGCGGAATAGGGTATTTATTCGGGACGGTAACTTTGTTAAGTGCCCTGTAGTCACCACAGGGGCGCCAGTCACCGGATTTCTTCGGTACCTTGTGTAATGGTGATGCCCATGGACTTTTGGACGGGCGGATCATTCCCAGTTCGAGCGTTTGCTCGAATTCTGCCTTAGGAGCTTTGAGCCTTTCTGGGGCTAGTCTGCGAGGGAGGGCCGAAACAGGTGGATTTTTAGTGCAAATGTGATGCACGATGTTTGGCGTCACAGGAGGCCAGCCGTTCGGAACGCGACCGAGTTTAGAATGCTTGTTGAAAAGCTCTATAAAAGGCTGTGAAGCTTGAGGTAGGACACGAATGAGAGAGGTAGGAGCCACGGTGGCACTAGTCCCGATAACGCAGAGCTGTGTCCTAGAGTCGATAAGCTTCTTCCTTTTAGCGTCAACGATGAGGTCGAAGTGTTAAGGAAAGTCTATGCCTATGATGGCGAAAGGCAAGACTACTACTATGGTCAGCGGAAAGTTCGCCGGAGGCCTAAATTTAACGTTAGCAGCCTTTCGCCGAAAATTGCGATTGGTGTGCCATTGGCGGCACGCAGCTTGGTGAGACGACCTCATCTGAGCTACGGGGTATAACGTTAACTTCGGCTCCAGTGTCGACTAGGAACTCGGTGCCGGAAGTTAAATCCCTAACGCGGATGAGACGACTTTGGTGTTGGCCGGTCGCGTCCGTCGTCGTTACGGGCCGGCCGAGAAGTTTCCCTGCATCTCGGTGAAGTTGCAAGGTTTGATACATTTACGAGCTGCGGCATCAAAGCGCTGATGGTACCAACAGCAAGTCTGCCTGTTGTTGGACTTGGAACGTTTGAAAAGCGATTTTGATCGGCCATGACGACGACGGTTCACAGTAAGCTGTTGAACCTGGCGACTAAGTGTCGCAACTTGTGTTTACAGGGCTTCTATAGTTGACAGTAAACCAGTGATAGAAGTGCCCTGGGACGCGACGGCATTGATCTTGCTGGCATCGGCTTGTGGCTGTGATCGTTCAACGATTAGATCCACTAAATCTGCTAGTTGAATGAGCGAAACGGAGCTCACGATAACAAGAAGCGCTTGCGTGTTTTCCGGTAGCTGCTGTAGCCATAGTTCGCGAAGTAAAGTCTCGTCCATGGTTGGGGAACCAAGGAGTTGCTGAATCTCACGTAGCAGGGTTGAGGGCAGTTTGTCGCCAAGCTGCAGATCCCTGAAAAGCTGCTGCAGGCGAAGTATCTCAGAGGGCATAACACGCTTAATCGTAGCCTACTTGAGAGCTACATAGCGGTTTTCGGTCTGAGAAATGATAAGGTCTCGAAGCTGCATTGATATCTCCTTGGGGAGATAGGACATGAGCTTGCTATACTTCGCGTACTCGGTAGTGATGCTGTGGGTATAAAACTCAGCCTCAACGTGAGCGAACCACAAAAGAGGATCTATGTCCCAAAAAGGTAGCACAGAGGGAGGAGAGACTTTACCTTAGGGTCTACAGATTCTATAGTTTAAAAAGTGACGCAAAGTAGGCTACCGTATGCAAAAGTAAACCGGAAAATATGAAAAATAAATGGAACGAGCTCACCAGAGAAAAGTTCCAAATATCCGGCGCTGAGGTTCTTCCGGAGTCGGGGTCACCAATTTAGTGCATAGCCTGTAACAGGAGCCCAGAGAGTGATTCGATAAGGCAGATCGGATTGCAGGGAAACTTTTATTGGTACAGTAAAAGATTCCCTGTTACCTAG